ATTAAATGGGGCTGACTGTTCAGATCCTTTACTTTTTCAAAAACAGAAAAAAAACTCACTCTAAGCCTCAGAACACTGACTTTATTATTGTGCCAATATTGTGACACACTCAGACTCCCTGATGGGTCTTTGTATCTCCGCTGCTCAGTTAGAAAGTCAAAGTACAAAGAAAATGTTTACAGCTGGAGACTGTTATGTATATCTGCTCTATGAATAAAAGTAATCATGCAGAGATATTTAACACAATATTGTGCACTTATCTATACATTTAACTGAATTTAAATATTATTTACTATACATATCATTTGTGTTGCAATGTACTATGTATTTTTTCTTCTTTCTCTTTCAGCTGCTCCTGTTAGGGATTGCCACAGTGGCTCATCCATCTCCTTCTAATGTACTATCCATCTGATGGCAGCAAAAACGCTCAGTGGCTCTATAAATGGATCCCTCTCCTCTTGCCACAAGCAGCAATCAGCGCATACCTCCTCCTGTTCAAGCACCCCACCAAGTGCAGGTGCAACTATTACAAACCTAATATCACAATAGCTTGTGTTACAGATCTTGTCATTTTTCTGGGCCTATGGTGCTTTAATAATTATTCTACCTGCATGAGCACATGTTCTGCTTGCAAGTTAAAGAAATTAAAAACATATCGATATCCCTGATCACACACAGTGGCCTAATCCTAGCATGCTAGTGAGAATTTTATTAATAATGTTAGAAAACCTTTTAATGCACATTTAATGTCCCTGGTATCAAAGTCACTAACCCTCAACACTGTTGAGGTGACACATAGACTGTATATAAAGATGGACAGCACGTCACTACTTCCTGCCACTACGCAAAAGCCAAAATTTCATCGAGGGCAGCCATCTTGCTTTTGTGCCATATTTTGCAATCAGATTTTGTGCAGTAGAGACCCGAGGTGGAGTCGCAGTATCACATCGCCAATCAAAGCTGTCAGATCATCCAAACACCCCGTTTTATATGAAAACAAATATAGCAGAGAAAAAAATGACCACTTGTACATAAATCAGAGTGAAAATATTTACCTGAAATGACAGAAATCAACTTTGGGAAAAATGTATTTGATTTGTTCTTTGTTTTTTTGTTTAGTTTGGATCATGTCCCATCTGGGGTTTGTATAGCAGAGAAACACCATGTCCTGTTGTCTCTTGATTGATCAGACAGTGTGTAAAATTGCACCTTTAGGCACAGTACTAAAGTCAATGTAGTTAATTACTTTTTACCACAGTTTTTTACATTGTGCTATTACATCCAAGGCCAAGGCTTTGTTGACTCCTTCTGTAGCTGCAACCCTGCTGCCATCTCTGGGGGATGCACCCAAAGTTAATAAGCCCCCTCCTAACAGAGACAACTCAGCTCCTTAGAGGGAGATCAAAAGCCATATGGTCAATGCACCTTGGAGAAGGTCTAAACACCTCAGGACTCAAAATCTCCTCTGTGTGAATGGGATGTGATCCAGAAGAGGAACAAGATGGAGAGCCAGATGTTGAGGCTCTATGCTTCAGGGAGTCAGTCTGAGTGAGCAAGAGACTGACAGAAGGAGTGATGTACAGTTTGTGGTGTACAGTACTGTATCTGCATGCAGAGGGATAAGAGCCACATGTGAAGCTCCTGTCGCAGGAGCTTCACCATGATGTGTGGCCTAATAGTGGGTCCTGTTTTCCACAAATGAACCAGCGACATGTCATAAAAGCTGAGAGGCAGCTTAGTCTGAAGGGAGCTTGAAAGCTGCCAAAACTCTCAAATTGGAGGAAATGTAAATGACTTACATAATCGGCATCATCCACACACACACACACACACACACGAAAAATTGTGTGGTCAGCACTTATTAACACTGTTAACTGTGTAAAAATAGTTAAATATGGTCAAGCCATGTTCAGCAAGTCAATTTACAGCTTGACCAAGTGAGCAGAATGAAAGTGACATTTTATGTAGCATCTGCTGCAAAACGAAGCTTATCCCTGACCTGGAGCCATGATCATCATGTGGGTGAAGTCGAAGCTGTTGCTCTGTGTTAAATCATACTCTGTTAATCCATTTCTGCATGCTGTGGGTTTTAATAACCTAATATCCTTATGACTGTTTTAGTGCAGGTACAAAGAGTGCGACCATGCATACATTCAGCCTGGATTTGTGCATGAGTAGACAGTGGAACAACTTTTCTATGCAGCGAGCTAATTTATTTCATGATTAGCGAATTTCTTTTTTTGTGCTGGATTCTCCAATTAATTTCAGTTTCAGTTGGCATTCCCTGACAGTCAAGACAAAAGACTTTTATTCCCCATTTTACTGAGACAGATTGGCCAAGAGTGTTGCTGCCATCTACAGACTACAGATTTGCCACCCCCTCCCCCCAACTCCCACACATAAAACACCCACGCGTGCGCGCACACACACACACGCCTACACACAATGTAAACAGCCAAAGCTTTGAATGAAAGTAAGAAGACCTGAGATATCTGTGGCTGCAGTTGCAGCATCTGGGATGCAATGCATACTACATCCAGCTAAACACCTCTGCTATTCACCGGTAATAACAGCACAGCCTGAAATTCACAGTTGCAAACATTCAGAGCCCTCAGAAGAATCTGCTAACAGAATTACCTGTAGTGCTTCTTATGTAACATACACACAAACATATTTTTTTGCCTTGTGACCTCCTAAAAGGGACATGGGAAGCTAAAAAAAAAAAAAAAAAAAAATCAAATAATTCACAAAAACAAATTAGAGCAAAGTCTGAATAAAGAAACATTAGTTTGCTTTGCAGACAATATTGAGTCTTCTCCTTTCCTATATGCCATTAATCACCACAAGCCTTTTGATTTATCTTATGGGCACTTTAGGTGGTCTTGACCCACAGGTTTTGAGCCATTGCACTGTTTACCTCTGTCATTAACGTTCATTTCTTTGTAGATGAAGACAGGAATGGGTTTAGCTCACAAGATTTTTAACTGCTGTGAAAGCAAATCAGAAACAATTAGCCTAATTTATAACCCCAGAGGACAAACTGTCACTGTCAACTAAGGCAAAGTTACACGGTAAAACGACTTGCATATCTTTTCTATGGACCAAAGGACCACTTTCAAACTATTTGCCCATCACCCATTCACACTCCCAAGCAAACACACTCATACACTTGAGATAGCCACCAGGAGCAACCTGGGGTTTAGTGTCTTGTGATGTGGACCGGAGAAGCCGGAAATCAAACTCCCAACCCTCCAGTTAGGAGACAACCAACTCTACCTCCAGAATTTCTGTCAAACTTGTATTCCACAGATGTCTGCACCTTGGAAAAATGCCCTGTTAAAAATTGTCATGGTTAACTACTTTCACTCCAGTGGAAATGTTAAATGCTGAGCCCCCCACCCCCTCATGGAAAATAACCCCTCACATGCTCCTCTTTCCAGGGATGACTCAGCTTTTACAAGGTGAGCTGTGAAAGCACCTTCAAGAGGTACTATGACAATACACACTGATTTCTGTCATTTCACTTCATCATGTGCGCCTGCAGCACAGAGGAGCTATGTTTTCATGCTGCCAGCTTCACTAACTGCGAAATGGCTTAATGTACATTGTTAGCAGTTCCAACAGAAACCAATTAGTAGTCTGTAGCTGGGAGCTGACCAGTTGCCACTTGATTCCCTTTCAGCTCGTTACATAGCACACAGACAAATGTCTTTTTGGATGAATCAACAGCATGTTTTACAAACAAAAAAGAAAAAGCATGGCTCCATTTCCCCCTTTTCCTTCCTGAACACCTTTAAGAACCATATTAAAGCTTTTCTGCCATTCTGAACTGGGACCTGGTGAGTGTTAGTGTCTAGGGAGGGTGGTAATCCTCAATAGCCTCTGGGTGTTTTGCCCATACTCACCAGCTGTTTTCATCAGTATGGTGTTATAGTGGTGAAAGTCTAGCGGGTGCTGCCTCCCTGTGTTTGCACTCAGGAATTGCTGATGTCTTCAGCAGTGACTGATGCATAGTCCCTCTCAACAATACAAAAGGCTGCTGGGTACAAACTGCCCTTGTACCCAGTAACTTCCATCACAGGCTATATCAGTCCTAACCTCACATAAGGAACATGGCTCACATCCAAAATCGACATCTCCGCAGTACAGTAACAATAAGGTATTGACTTTGAGTTAATACACTAATGCACCTGTAAGCTGGTGTCAGTTGTGTATGGGTCACTGGTTAAAGGCATATGGTTTGGTTTTTACACAGTGATGGTTTATTCTGGCACTTGACTTGTTAACTGAGGTGAAGGACATCGCTCAGCGTGTGCACATTACAGGTGTTTACAAATATTTAAATTGTCTGCTTTACAAATCAATCTGCCACACTGAGTTAAAAATATAGATGCTCCTTGTGACACTAGTCACGTTGCTGGCCAAACTTCAGCTGAGAAAGCAAACAAAGCAGAAGCAAAGTGCAATAGTGGTCAGTGTTTATTCAAACTAAAATTATTAATGGCTTATCACAAAGAGAAATACAGCAGATTGAGTTGTATTTGAGGCATACAGGAAAAACTACAATTTTCTACCACCTGTCTGTTAAATACAATAATATATCTTATAATCTATAGAAAAGTAAACCAAATCTTCATTTCATAACATAAGTGAATAAGGCTTGAAGAGATACAGTAGGTCTTTACATAAGGTTATAGCTGACAACTTTGGCATCAGTGAATACATCCCTTGTATCAAAAAAGGCAGTAAAATCAAAAACACAAGGCACTTTCTTATGAGAAATATTAGCGCCATTGCTTGTAGGTAGCATTAACACAATCCCAAGATCACTTCATTAACTTCCCCCTTTACACTTTAAAGTACCGTACTTTCCGGACTATAAGCCGCTACTTTTGCCGCTTACACACTGTACACACCCTCGTCATGGACAACACACGACAAAATGCATATGATGCCGCTTCAAGTTACAGGCGATCGATCTGGCTGTCGAAATATCTCATGTTACACCTGCGGTTATGTACAACATGTTTTTTCATCTTACATGTAGCGAGTGCGGCTTATAGTCCGGAAATTACGATAGCCATCAAACGGCACAGTTATGCTGTTAAGCAAGGCACCAGCTTGTACCGTCACCCTGGCAGACAGCATTCTTGAGCAGGTGGTTAAGTCGGAAGAGTTGATTAAAACGTGATCAAACTGACATGTCATTGTGAAGACGTATAAAGCATTAAAGATAAACATAATTGCTCATAAGAAAGCACCACAAATGTTGCAGAAAATCATTATTATTACAAATTATAAAAACTAATGGATCAAAAATTGAAAGGCCTCTGTTGAACAGAGGCTTGAAATGCATGACTGGACAGTTAATGATGTGTTAGAAGGGTGCAACAGGGATGGGCTGCTACTGTGACCAGGAATGGTATTTTCAACAAAGTGCCAGTTTTACTCCATTGACCTTTAGACTACTCTGGGGTGTACAGCAGCACCTGGCTTGCAGATATAAACATTGAGGGAATTGGAGTGGAAGGAAATTACAATGTCTTAGTCCCATGGAGGCTGTCCCACACTAATTTACACAATCTGTGTTAAAACTCCACTCTGTTTCTCTCAGAGGCTTTTTCTCACAGCGCTGTGATCTTAAATATGGAGCTAAGACTGAAGTCTGAGTACCTAATTACTTTAAGCAACCTTGGAGTGTTATTCCACCATTTATTTACAAAAATGAGATCCTCTGATGTTCAATTTGATCCCTTGCATTATTTTCCTTCCCTATGTGCAAGGCAAAAAAAGAACCTTTGGGTTATTTGAGTCCGATATGTGGTGATGAAGTTATTCACTCGCTTTTCTTCTTTTGCTTCTCTTAGTACGGCTCCGTCTTTAGACTTCGATATAGGCAGCATGTAAACACCATCCCTATGATCTGGGGAATGAATGGAGGGAAAGGAAAACACAATTTAGCAAAATGGCAATCCCCATGGATATACATTTATTTTTGTCTAGCCAAGCTGTTGAAGACCCAAGTGTTCTTTGCTCACCTGTACACAGGCAATCCCAACCCCCACTGCTCCAATGATTTTCAAATGCTCCAGGATGAATTTCTCCAGTTTCGTGATGCAGCCACCCTAAATGAAAAACAAAGTCTGTCTTCAGCTTGCATCATATGAAGTGGCAGTGCTGCTGGAGTCTCACTGCAAATAACAGTTTGGATATGACAGCTCTTCTTTTGTCTGCTACTCTTATACCGCACACTAATGTCTCGGTACTTTGCTACTGCACAATGACGCACTGAGATATGACAGAACGACAGATCAAACCAGCCGCACTAACAACCCAATCGCACTGACAGCCCCAGCACTCTCTAACCTCTTACCTCCACTTTGTAGATGTTGGAGGGGTGCTGCCTGCGACCACAGAACTCTGTAGGAGTTTTACAGCAGCTGTCAGGCACCGCCCTGCCTTTGGAGTCACCGGAGCGAATCCAGATGCTCTCCTCCCAGTCGGATGAACTGTTGCTCCCACAGCATTTGAACTAGACAGGGAAGACCGTAAAAAAATATGAGATGATGTCTGTTCGGTAAATATGAAGCTACAGCAAGCAGCCAGCTAGCTTAGCATAAAGACTGCAAATGGCTAACTGGGCTCTCTCCAGGTGTATTATAATGCCAGAGAATTTCTTGCTTGGAAGCAGTGCAAAGAGTCCTGGAGTCTAACCAGCTGCTGGCTCTACCTTCATAGTTAGCAGAAAGTCATGAGCAAGGTATTGATCTTCTCACCTAATTCTCAGCAAGAAAGTAGGTAAGTGAATGTAACAAAATGCTGAAAAGGTACAAAAATGCACCAAGTCCAAACTAATTATTGGAAATGACAAAATAAAATACTCAGAAGAAACAATACACAATAAATGCATAAAATGCAAATTAACTGAAGTCAACTGTAGTTCAGATTTATCCATTCCTTCACACGCTGTCAAATGGTATAACAAAAACAGAGGGTCAACTGCAGCAGAGAGCAGAAACAAGTCCATCAGGCTCATCTGAAGTCAGGGGGACTGGAATGAGATTTGTTGTGACTCACCACCATCCCAAAAATCTCTAATCTGATGGGATGACAGGTTACCAAATCTCTGTCCAATGAACAAGCACCTGAGATTTCATGTGATTTTTGGTAAGAAGCTCACGTTCACTTTTAATATGAAGGAGTGGATGCAAACAACTTCCTAAATACATTCAGTTTTCCTGTGTATTTTGGGTCAATGAAAATAAATCTTAAATATCTATTGTCATTTCAAAGATTTAAGTAATCCCCACATTTTAAAAACAGGTAGTTCTATCAATCCTGGTGTGCAGATACTTACCTCCTGCTGCAGCTTGTCCACAGCCCTGGTGATGTGTTCATAGGTCTTTTGTTGATACTTCTGGATCATGGTCTCCCTCAGGTTCTGCTTCAGCTCCTCGTTCAACTGCTCAGATCAAGACATACTGCATAAAACAGCAGCCCAAGGCACAACACAAAAACTTCAGGCCAGTGCAGAGCATGACCATTGCTGATAAATCTGTCGCCACTATTATTTTTGTCATGGTAGAGACTTAAAGAACATAGGATTTAATCGCTTTCTTGCCGATACAGGTCATGGACAGCAGTTCTAACAACAGAGGAGCACGAATCTGGGGCCAAGGAAGAAGAAGTCACTGTTTTTTGTTCTCTGGACCAGTGGCATAAAACGCTTGCTCAAGGAGCGGGAGATCTGGGGGGCTCAGTTTCTATGGCAACAAGCCAGTTGGGAAACAAGTGTAAATCAAAGCGTGAAGGAGATATCAAGGGAATGAATGATGAAGGGAGGATGTGGAGAGATGAAACAGAAAGGCTGGGGGGACCGGGTGGATGAGAGTTTAGTCTTATTTTACCCGTTGACAGTTTGGCAGACAGTATGGTAGTGAAGAGAAAACAACATGTCAAGATTCAGCATGCCCCAGTAAATAGGAACAGCAGATGTGAGAGTGATTAAGTACATACACGGAAAAGCAAACATGAGTTCAAGCCTCCATTCAGGTGATGGCGGCATGACTAAGGTCATTCAGCTGTACAGCCACAGGCCTGAACTCTATAGTTTGATTCCAACCTGGACCATCTACTGGCAAGAAAAGTAAAAGCAGCAGCAGCAGTTTAGAACTGCAACTAATGACAAGATAGTGTGCACCATCTACAGGCAAGGCAGGGAATAGCAAATGCGGGTTTGATACTGGCGCCACCTGAAGGCAATGACTGTTACAGCAGCTGTATTTTTATTATTCATAGCTCGTATTTGACATCGTTTACATTTTAAACTTTCAAAATGTAAGTTTTTCTAACATGAGGATATTTTCTCTGCCTATCTGAACTATAAATGTGGGCATACATAAAGGCATTCACATGTTTTGTTTTGGTGATGTGGTCCCAGCTACAATTTGAGCACACTGCTCAAATTGTCTGTCTGAGTCTGTGATGGGAAAAATCTGGCTGGTTTGCCAATGATGAGTTCCCGGGTTTAGTTAAAAAAAAAAAAAAAATAATAAAAAAAATGACTAGCACAACAACTAGTAGCACAGTTTTTCTAGCCAAGTGAATACAAACTTAGAAATGGAAATACAGCTCATAATAAATTCAATATTACAAGATTTATAACATCAGCTAACTAGCAACTATTTTACAACCACATGATGAGCCAAATTTTTGGAGGCCAATGTAATGCAAAGATGTTCCATTTTTATAGACACTTTGTATTTTAAATAACAGTTTAAAGAAGTATTAAATCTCACATGGAAAACAGCAGCTGAAAAATAGAAATACCCGTCTACAGGTATTTCTATTATGTATGATGAATATGAATATGTCAGCTATTATAATAATAGAACACTTCTAGACTGAGGAGAGTTCTGTTCCTGAGTTACAAGCCACCAAGCTTTAAAACTAGTTATGCTGGGACCAATGCTGGGGGAGACCTATGTCATGTTAATATCGCTCAAGGAATAAGAAAGCATTTGCACCTGGCTGCTGCGCATCAGTATATGCTTGACTATGCTGTTAGAGGTGAAATGTGCCAAGGGAGGTTGTCAGTTTTGGTTTACCTTTTACATTAAGTACAGAATATGACATAAGAAAATGAGCTAAGTACACATTTAGTAGGGGTCAGCAGTGTTTAATCATTAACCTGTGTCAACAGAGTTCTTCCTTTGTCTAGGGAATGTGAAATACATGAGAACAGCCATATTTGAGTGTATTTCAGTTGGCAATCATAATAAAGTTCTTTTCAGTGATTGTGACTCAGTGCATTCAGCCTTGTTATTAAACTACTGGAGGCATTTTTCATTCCATTTGGACTAAATGCAGCACAAGTAATTTTTAATGGACCATCTTAAATTTCCACTCTGGCATCTCAATTTTTTATGCTGGCTTTGTCGCATCTAAATTTACTGTGCAGCTTTTGGGTTCGTGCTCAGATTAAGAGACAAAACCTTTCTCAGGCACGGTCTATTGATTCTTTAGTTTAGCTACTGTAACTGGTCCACATAGATATGGATTTGATAGATATTCTGAATCATGACAGACTTGTGTCCACCTAAGGTTTTTTACCCTGGGACAATTTATTAAAAATATGTATATTAGGAAGGAATAAATAAATGTACTGATTAAGCATAACATTGTAATATTATTTAAACAAATCCTAACCTCTGTCTGATTTAAAATAATGTTTAATATATTTTTTGGAGCATTTTTACCTTTATGGGTTGTAGAGAGGCAACATGGGATGCAAAGACAAATAGGGGAAACTCACAAGCAATGTTGGCAGTTGGACTCAAACTGTATATAGTGCACACTGAAACCACTCAGCATGCAAGGAGACCTGTTAAATGTCTGTTTTGTCATTTGAAATCAATATATAGTCTTCTGATATTTGCCAGCTGTTCCTCCATCATTCTGTACATGCAATCTAACAAACAAATCCCAAGATGCATTGTAAAAGATTTTTTGTTGTTGTCCTAACAGGATTACCTGCTGGTAGTAGATATAAGCCAGGATGCCAGCCAGAATCTCCAGCAGGAAGATGCACAGCAGCAGGACAAAGTACTGTGGACACAGGGAACAACAGGTTTAAAAAAATGTGATGTGGGAGCATTTAAAGTCACACATGCAGCACTGTTTGAGAGGCAGTTTGAACAAAACAATGATCTGGTCACATTCTACTGAACTGTTAAATAGAAATGCAAATATTGGACACTGCTGTCCACAGCAGGTTTGTACAGCCATTCAATAAAGGCATAACCAAGAACAAAAATGCTCATAAATATAACTATTACATTCTGCATGTCTTTAAACACTGTCAGTCAGTTCACAATAGCATATTTCACACTTTCAGTGAGATTTACTGTTCAAAATGTATCGTCTGTATTTGATTTGAGATCAGGCCCGTGGGAGTTACAGGGACGGTCTGCTTCTTATGCCAAGTTTTGGTCAGAATTAAAGACAAGGAGAGATATTACCTGTCCAAAACCTTGACCCAAATTCCTCTGGCCTGCTGCTATTAGAGAGAAAATCAACCCGGTAAAGTGAACTTGGGCCTTGATTCGATAGCTGATTAGATCCCTGAGTGGATCTGAACCTGAATGCTGAGCAAAATACATTTTGATGTTGCACTGGGGGTTTAGAGAGAAGCATGCCAGCAGACATAGATCTACACATACATGAGAACAAGATTAAACAATTAATTGGCATGTGTGACGGTAAACTAGACATGAAACTGCACCCATTCTAATAATCCATGCACTGACAACTAATGTTGACAACATGCTTGTTCCACACTTTGTGTACCAGTGATGTACTCAGGACTATGTGCAGGGCACAACAAACTTCATCTAACCACACCCACATGTGATGCTGAGGCCAGCATGCTCTGTCAGATTGCTTTGGAAACCCCCCCTTCCCCCACACCTTTCTGATGTTGGATTAGGTGGGCTGTATACGACTGTTTCTGAAACTCTGTGAAACCGACGATTTGACAGTCGCACCCATGTTGCAATGCAACTGGCCAGCTGTAGAGGTGAGAAAGCATGCTGGATTTGAATCTCTCTCTTCTAGCTCTCTTTCTTCGTTTGTTACACAGCTATTTGTGACACTTCACAGGAATAAACACAGGCAACTCTATGAATGCTTTCGAGGAGAGTGTCTAAAGATGTGCATTTAAATGATACTGCGCCCTCTCCTTTTTGTGATGGCCAGTCACGCAATGCACTCTGCCTTTCAGTGTAGATGTCCTGAACAATTATAAAGACCTGTGAATTCTGATACGGTCAGACAAGCTAAGTGACACCCACAACCTCCAAAATATTAGCTCCCTGTTGATGATTGCCCCTAAGGTCCATGACACTCCCTAGTCGTTTCATCTTCCATGTCCTTTCTAAGCACACACAGTAGACCGACAAGTAACCAACACAAAAATAATGAGATGCAGGCAATGATACAAAAGCTGTACAAGAGCAAAACCCAGCCACTCTAACAGTTTTAAAAAAAGAACTATCACATCTTTTCCTGCTTTTTTCTTCTCCCGTGTTTGACGAGCATACTCAGACCTTACACCTTTCAACACAAAGAGGACCATGCTTTTCATCCATGAGGTGATCTAGAATAAATCTGATTCAGATTCTTTAACTCAAGACTCATGCAACCTCACATTCCTCCTATGATTTGATTAAACTGTATCTGTTTAGTTTTAATACCTTCAAAAAGAAACCAAAGTGATTCAACAACAATAACTGCACTGGTTCAGGACTCAGATGACAAACACTCCATACATAACCATCTGGAAGGCAGACTAACATGTTCTGCCCATACTGGCTTATCCTAGACATTACGGAGCACCGGAGGGAGCATAGGAGCATCAGTGAGGTAACCACTCTACTAACTGAGTTAATGTCAACAACTGCACATAGAACATATGCAGTTGTGGCTGGGAACAAGGTCAACTGAGTTAGAACAGTTTTTCTGAGACAATACTTTTGTTCTGTAGCTTTGCCTACTCTCTCTTTTGCAAACACAGGCAGTCTTTGCAGACTGATCCCACACAGTGATGTGTAAAGGGTGTGACAGAGGCTCTGTTGTTGGCTGTAGAGACTGAGGAGGCTGAATTACAGACTCCAGAGGACTCTTCGTAAGCTCAGGCTCACTCTCTCATACAGACACACTCATTGTACATTGCAATTCTTCTCCCAGGCGACTTAAGGACACTGTAATTACTGCCAAAATGACTCTTAGCAGGTTCATATGTACAAAATGTTTTTTTAAGCTCTGTATTGGCTTCAGACTCCACAGTATGCCGTGTGCAGGCTTCCTGGCTAACCTACAAAATATCCAACATCTCATGGTGAACTCAGCTTATTGAGGCTGTTAGAAAATATTTGGAC